TTGTAGGGCGCGCGCAAGGTGCATGGGTGTCGTTCTTGTGGGGTACGTAGGGTAACCATATGTAGCTCGTACAGCAAGGGTACAGTCGGGGGCGCCTAGCGGGTAGGCCGTCCCGTTGGGCAGGCTTGCCCCGCACGGTTGCCTATGCACCTCCCCACAGGCGGCAAGCAGTACATCGGGCAGATGTATGCAGCCTGAACGTGTGGTGTGCGCAGCGCGACCGTTGTGGTCTACAGAAGGTTCCAGCAAGATTCAACAGTTAACAGAAATGGTTATCGCAACGCAACAATTTTTACCTGCTTTGAATTTGAATGGTGACCCTGATTTCGTTCTGTTACAATTTTTGTTTGTTACCTTCAAAAAACAGCAATAAATAAATATTTTTTAAAATATGTAGAAGTATAATTCATTTCATTTTAAAATAAAATAGTCACATTACAATGGTAGAACAGTGTGATATATACAAATAATGAGATACATAGTGCAAAATATATCACTGATACAAACTTAAATTGATGGAATAGACTAAGGATGAGTGGAATACAATCAATAATCACAAAGGAATTCCACTGCACTTCATAAAATAATCTAATGTCAACACTTTACTAAATCAAAATAATAAATAGACCAACAAAATTTAAGCATTTGCTAGTGCAGATTATTGATACTTCACATGAAAATAAAAGATGGCAAATTTAGGTAACAAGAGTTAAATAATCATATAGTAATTTCAAAAAGCATTCTTCAATCTCTTTAAGGCTAAGTAAAATGTAATCTAAAACATCAATGCGGAGTTTCCACTAAAAATAAACTACCTGAGATCAGTTACATTCAATGTAGAATTCAAAGCATCTCAGAATGTTTTCAAATAAACTTGAAAACATTGAGATGAATGAATTTTAGCCCTGCCTACTTTGCTGTTCTTGCTGCTGGGATTGGAGATGCAAAAAATATCTGTCTTCATTCATGACATCCATCATAGCGCGTTTGACAGGTGTCTCTTGAATTTTTCCCCAATTTTTCTTTGTGCACCGATGCTCAATAAAATCTGCAAATAAAATAATTTTAAATGATTAGGAACATTAGCGTGAAGTTGATTGTAAAATTCAAAGTGATGAAGTACAAGTAAGTTAGTAAGGAACAACTAAAAAATGGCACATACCAAGAATTTCATTCACACCATCAGCATGAAGTGGTGGGCGAATAACCCGCTCTCCACTCCTTGTGGAGTTTGACGGCCTGCCTGATACAGAACATTCAATAAGAGCCTTGTCTGAAAACACTGCTTTGACAAGCCGTCGGGCAGCAGCTGTGGCTGTTGAAGCCTTCTTCACCTCCTTCATGGCTCTCTTGTGGATAAAAATTGAACTACCATCTCTGATGGGTACAACCTAGAAATCAAATTAGAGACACATTAGTAATTAAGCTTCGAGAAGCATAAAATTTGGAAGAAGCAGGCTCTAACAATACTTACAGTATCTGATTCTGTCTTGTGACGGTAGTATTCCCCATCAAAAACAGCCTTTGAGTACATAACTCGAGTTCGCTTACGCTTGCCTGCAGAGGAAGAATGAATGTTTAGGCAAGTTCAGCATTGATAATTAGTTACACTAATGCCAGTTAACCTATGAAGACTCACGTTTCAATTCTTTTGCAGGCTGGCTGGCATCAATATCCTCACTGCTAGCTCCTGAGACATTTCCCTGAAGTTGAGACTTTGGAGGACCATCTTGGCTACAAGGTACTTGCTCCTTATTAGTCTCAGTGCTACCAGCTAGGTCATCTCTCTGAGTTCCATGGTTACGAGGTTCACCATTTGAAGAGATGGACTGCCGTTGCTTGTCTGATCCTTTCGATCTCTCAGAGTTTTCAGCAAGCAGGAGACGATCATTTCTCCTCTGTTCATGTCTTAATTTTCCTGTATAACAAGCAAAAATAAAGATAAAAGTGAAATTTGAAGTGGCTAAATTAAATACCAACTGTGGATTCTAATTTTAAAAATACAAAATGAAACATCATAGTTATAAATAACACTTACTGTTTATACGTTTCTGTTCATTTTCTTGATCAAGTTCGTTCAAAACATTTTCCTTTCCTCGTTTGATGATATTAACATCGTCAGTTTTCTTCTTTTTGGTATCCTTAAAATTAAACAGAGGGAGTGTTACAATAAAGTACTATAGAGGTAAAAGAAAAATCAAAACAAATAGTTGTGCGAGTTACCCTTGCTAAATCTTGCAGTGGAGTGTCTGAATCAGAGCCAGTCGTATCTGAATCATTCTTGTCAGATATGGATATGGAACCATGCTCAGTCCCAGAATCAGAATTAGAATCAACATCCAATTCCTTGTCAGTGTCAGCCTACAAGAAACACCAGTTTTAAAACACAATCAATGACAGCAGTGCTAAAAATGAAAACATTTACTTACTGCTTCAAGGTCTGTTTGCTTTGAGTTTGAGTTTGAGTTCTTGTTCTTGCCACGATGAGAGACTGATTTGGATTGCTGAAACAAAGTGTGCACAGTTAGAATAACAATGCAAAGTCCAAAGAGTATCAACTAATTGTTCAAGTTACGTACTATGGCAATTTGACTCATCCCTGCTGTCTTTGCTTTTCTCTGACGATTGGAGTCAAAGACTGCAGAATCTTTGGGGCGATCCTTGTTTAACCTCTTCATCAGGTTTGTCATGGAATCATGATCATCTCAAAACAGACAGAAAGTTACCAGAATTAGAATAGAACAGTGCAGTACAGTACATAAAGATACAGAGAGACACATCAAATGTAAACAACATTTAACCTAAAAAAACAAGGATTTCGGAATAGGCCTACTGAGCGAACTAACCTAACTGCAAAGTAAAAGTGAAAAAGAGAAGCAAAGTTATTAGATTTTCGTGGGTCAGGCACGCAACAGTTAACGGAGGAACAAGACGTCAAAATAAACGTGTTCTTGAAGGTTAGGATCAGCTACACGACAGCCTACACACAAGGTAACATTACATTAACCTAAGAAAGGCACAACGATACTATACTAGCAAAAGGAACATCATTGTACCCAAATCCTCGCGGTCTTATAGGCTAAGATAATGAAGTTGAACACTAAACCATAACTAAACAAGTTCATGGCTTCACTTCAACTTCAACGAGGGTTATCACGACTGCTTGTTTGCTTACCTCCAAAACCCTTCACCACGCCCTTAGGCAGTTTTCCTCCGAACCGGTAGGACCCATAAACAAAAGTAACCTGATCCCCCAGAGCCACGGGTGGCTGATAGATTACGTTTGCTCTCTCAACGAGAGCAAACGAATCATCTTTGACAGCGTAGATCACGAAGTACTCAGGCTCCGCTGTACGGTCTGGGGCCATGATACTACCAGGGATTCGACCTCGACACGATCTCAACACGAAACGTTAAGGCCGCACTCGTCGCGCACTAGAAAAACTTCGATTCTAAGTAACCTGAACCTGCGTCAAACTGACAGAACTCTGACACACACTCTGACCTGAGACCTTGGGCTGGACATGATTTGACAAGTCTTTCTTTAAATACCAAAACTGTCCAAGTCGCTGTGCAGTCATGCCAACACCAGCGACAAACTCTTTTTCGAGTAGAGATGTACAGTAAATTACTTTGCAAATGTTAGACAAAGTATCGGGGATCGTATCTAATAATTATGTATGTACATCTGCACAAGAAAAACTTCGATGAAGTGGACACTTTTGAAAATTCGACATAGTTGGTAATCCCAAACCCACTTTCTATTGCCTTCTCACTTCTCCCCCCCCCCCCCCCCTCTCTCTCTCTCTCTGCAGACCGCGGCCCTAACCTATACCTTTTCTCATTACAAGCAATAGTTGTGCTCTTTTTCCCATCACACGCGACTCAGAAGGTATTGCCGGTTTTCATTTCGACAATATATTTTAAAATCTGTCGAGCCTTTGGATCCTTATCTTGTATATTTGAAAGGTGATGCCTTAAACTTGACGTGTTTGTCCCTGCAGCTTTTATCATTATGCACTGTGAGTCTCCTGCTTCGACTGTGAGTCCTGGCCTGTGTTCACCACCTTCATCCCACCACATTCTTTCGGCCCCAACGTCTCCTTCAACGCGCCCATCTTCTTCACCTTCTTGCTTTTCAAGTGATTCGCCACTTCAACATTCCACACCTGATACTCCTAGTGATGCCCCGCCAAGAAAGATTAGACGCAAGGTAATGAATTTTATGACTACTACTTTTTAAGCTGTTATTGATCCGTTGCTTGGAACTCAAAAACATTTTTAATTTTAATGATCCAGGAAGTAGGGCAGTGCTGTGTTTCTTTGCTCTAATGTGTTTGATTTTGTTCCAGAATTATTCTAGAACCTCACTTATAAGGAAATTCAATGAGGCTGAATCAGAAGGAGATGTTCACAGTGACATAGATTCTGATCATCACAATGTTTCAGACCTGTCTTTTTACGAGACTGTTGAATTGGTTCAAGAGGCTGCTCAAGTCTCAATCGTCTCTGTCTCGAGTGAGTCACAGAGTTCCTCTGAATGTTTAACAGCCAGTCAAGATACCAGCTGCCATGAATTATCTGATGACAGTATTAGTACTGTTTCTCATTCATCGCAATCAGAGTCAAGCTACTGTGATAGCAGTGTTCGGGAATCTTTAAGCTCAGACACGGAAGATGAGCTATACGCTGGCTCAGATGTCTTACTTACAGAAGCGATTATTAGAACACTAAGGGTATATGTAAAAGAGAGGTGGACTAAAACGAGTTTGGATTCAAATGTTAAGCTTATAAGGTCTTTGCTTCCAGCAAACAATTTGTTTCCTAAATCAGGGAGGCAAATGCTATCAAAACTAAATGAGTTGTCATCTTTTCAAATTGAAACTGAACATTATTATTGCTTAAACTGCAGAGAAAGCAAAGAGTCAGAGAATGGAGTGTGTTTGCTTTGTAAGTTTGATGCTCAAAGTGGGACATTTTATAAATTCTGTTTAGCAAATCAATTGAAGTTTATGTTTGAGCATAGGGGTTTGGCATCTGCTATTGATGAGCAAAGACGTCGTACTGCTGATGTTAAAGAGGGTCATATTACTGACATACAAGATGGTACAGAATACAAGAAGATTCGAAATGTTTTAAGTGGCCGGTATGATATTGTATTGATGATGAACTCTGATGGGGTTAATTTATCTTCAAGCTCCAAGCAGGAGCTTTGGGGTACCTTGTGTTCTATTGTAGATGTGCATCCAAGGAAAAGGTACTCGTACATGCTTGTGAGTGGGGTCTTTGTTGATAAGACAAAGCCAAACATGAATGTTTTTTTAAAGCCTTTCGTGGATTCAGTCAAAGTTCTCTCTACTAATGGTGTATTATGGACTCATCCACAATGTGGAACTGTTTTCACATCTAAAGCAGCATGCCCTGTTATTTGTGTTGATGCACCTGCCAAGGCTATAATTCTGAATGTCAAAAGTTTTAGTCACAGATTTGGATGCAATGTTTGTGAGCAAAAAGCTGTGAAAGTGCGTGTTGATTCTAAAACTTGTGCTCGTGAAGAAAATTGCAACAAGAAAAAGAAAACCGTGCAGCAGGATCCAAGTCAGAAGAGAAGTACTACTCTTAGGCGGTTTGTTTATCAAGACAAAGAAGTCAATTTACGAACTCACTTAAGAATGACACTGCAAGGTGAACTGGCAGAACGTAGAGGAAAATCTCGAAAAGGTGTTCTTGGTAAAACAGTTGTAGCAGAATTGCCTTTCTTAGACCTAGGTGTTTGTCTCAGTGCAGAATATATGCACCTTGTCCTTCTTGGCTGTGTTCGCTATATACTGGATATCATTTTTCATGTTAGAGGTCCCTGGTGTTTACGTAAACACATTGCTGAAATTGATGCATTTATTCGAGCAATCAAAGTTCCCTACTTTCACAAAAGATTACCAAGAGGGATAAAGGACTTGAAGTATTTTAAAGCCAGTGAATTACGTGCCATGTTACTTTATTTTTCATTGCCTGCATTTCAGAAGTTTCTGCCACCCAAATATTTTCAACACTGGATGTTACTTGTTGCAGCCATATATCTATTACTGAAGGAGGATATTTCAAGCAATGAATTGGATATGGCAGATGCAATGTTGCGTTGCTTTGTGAGAGATTTGGGTAAACTGTATCACAACAAGTTCTATACTTACAACATCCATAATTTATTACATGTCACGCTTCTTGTCAAGCGTTGGGGCCCCCTCTGGGCTACAAGTGCCTTTGATTTTGAAAGCTATAATGGCTTCATTACCTCTCATGTGCATGGCACTAAACATCTTGGTAAAGAGTTGTTAAATAATATCAAAATTATTCAGAGCCTAACAGTCCTTGAAAATTCCTTGGAACGACTTGGTAGACCTAAAGTCAAAGTACAACTTGGTGCCGCTGTTGATGTTGAGCTGTTACCATCTGAAAAAAAATTATTAGAAGAAAATTGTATTTCTGACTATTGTGTATATGACCGCATCAAAACAGATTCAGACATCTTCACATCAAGAATGTATGACCAGCATAGGAAGAGAGCCAATAGTTTAGTGGAATTTGATGTGAACAAATTTGGAGAGATTTTACATCTGCTTAGGGATAGAGCTTCAGGTGAAATATTGTGTCTGATCAGTGTTTTCAAAATCAAGCACATTGACATTTTTTTTCTGGAAGACAGTTTCTACCAACTTCGACACTTATTACCTATTGAAGACTCCAACCTCTTGACTCTAGTTCCAGTTTCTAGTATTATCACTAAGGTGATCAAAGCTGGCAACTATCTTTGTTTACGACCTAATCACTATGAAGTTAATCTGTGATATTGATATTTTAGTTTTGACTGTCATGTTATACTGATCTGCCGATATGACTTAAGATTTATTCTTAACTTAAAACAATAAATCTGTGATAGATTTTGGTAAACTTTTTATCTCATCTTAAGTTTTAATTATATAAGTTTCATCAATTGTAATGTAAAGAACTAAAGTTGAAAACATTTTTTATACTTTATTTTCTTAAGTTGTTGTTATACTTTGTGATGTATTGAACATCTAAAGCAAATGATATTTAATCAATTTTGTGGTTTTGCAAAATAAAATTTATTTATAATGCTATTTGCATTACATACTTTCATTCAATCAAGGCCTCGTATCAGATTTGGCATTGCTTCCTCCTGCACCTGGTCCTGGTGGTCCTCTGCTGGGTGGTCTTGGGAATGACGAAGAAGAATATGATTTAGGGGTCCTTGCAACTCGGAATTTCTTGCGAAGTTCTGAAAGAATAAAAGATCTTGAATAAGGCACTCAACCATTCCTATCAGAATAAACAATACAACAAGAATCATTTTAAAAACAACAGAAAATCTAACCTTCGAGCCGATTCAACTCTGTGTTTATGACTGCGGCAGTGCGACGAAACATTTCAATGCTTTCAGTCAGTTCCCTGGGAATCACAAGTAAATTCCTCTGGAGTCGACGTATTTCTGACTGTTACCAAAAGTGACAATTTAGTAGCTACTTCGAAAGAAAATGAATTCAAAACATAGCCATATATTTATCTGACATTACTCACGCGTAAAAAAGCAGCTATCTCGTCCATCTCACGAACCTGTCTACTTATTTCCATCTCCATCTTGTACTTCACACTTAATTTTGAAGAAATCTAAATTCCAAATTCTGGTTCCCTATCATGTCACTGATCAACTAATGAACTGGAGCCATGGAGACGCGCGTTGAGTCCATGTGACCATCACAGCCAATCAGAGGCCAGCTCTGCTGAAGTAGCCAGCAGCACACGGACGGAGCTATACCCCGCGCTGCCAAAGTGCGCCAGCACTGCTCCTGAACATGACGCCTACCGCCAGAGCCCGTAGGCAACGCGCTTGCTGAGGTGCTAGGCGGGCTGGCCTACCCGCTCGGCGCGCGCGGCTAGCA